TTCTTTAGGGTTCTGTAGTTTTCATTGTATAGATCTTTCACCTCTTTTGTTAAATTGATTCCCAAGTATCAGAAACTTACCAACCAAGAAAAGCCCAGGACTAGATGGATATACAGCCAAATTCTACAAGACCTTTAAAGAAGAACTAATACCAATACTCTACAATTTATTTCAGGAAATAGAGAAAGAGGCAGCACTTCCACACTCATTCTATAAGGCCAATATCATCCTGACCACAAAACCAGGCAAAGACACATAAAAGAAAGAAAACTTCAGACCAATATCTCTAATGAACATAGATGCAAAAATTCTCAAAAAAAAAAAATCTTGGCAAATTGAATACAAAAACATATCAAAAAGATTGTGCACCATGATCAAGAGGGATTCATTCCAGGTGTGCAAGGTTGGTTCATCATAAAGAAATCAATAAATATAATTCATCACATCAACAGACTCAAAGAAAAGAATCATATGATCATCTCCATAGATGCAGAAAAAGCATCTGACAAAATACAGCACTCTTTCATGTTCAAAACACTAGAAAAACTATCGATAACAGGAACATATCTCCACATCGTAAAGGCCATCTATGCTAAGCCTCAGGCCAACATTATTCCAAATGGAGAAAAATTAAAGGCATTCCCTCTAAAGACTGGAACAAGACAGGAATGCCCTCTTCTACCACTTCTATTAAACATAGTTCTTGAAACACTGGCCAGAGCAATTAGATGAATGAAATTAAAGGGATATGAATAGGAAAAGAAGAACTTAAATTAGCACTATTTGCTGATGATATGATTCTATACCTAGAAGGCCCAAAAAGCTCCAACAGAAAACTTCTAGAACTAGTAAATGAATTCAGCAAAGCAGCAGGATATAAAATCAACACCCATAAATAAAAGGCATTTCTGTATATCAGTGACAAATCCTCTGAGAAGGAAATGAGAAAAACTACCCCATTTACAATAACTTCAACAACAACAACAAAAAAAATAAGATACTAGAGAAACTGTTCTTTAATAATGGTATGAGAATTTCAGTTTAACCAATGAATTTATCCTGAAGTAAAGGGTGGCATACCCAGAAATTTAGGTGAGGTTCTTAGTAAGCACCAGAAACAAGCATCAAAAAGAACTTGACATCTTCTTTAAGTTTCTTGATGAAGTAAAAAGCCAAAGAACATTTTACATGCAGTAGCCACTTTCCATAGATTTCACTTCAGCAGAATCTACCAGGCAGAGTTGAGGTCCTGAAGATTATACTCAGATGTGACAAATGAGAGAAAGAAAATCAGAAGAAGGGATCAGAAAGGGTTTTCTCAATTATATAAAAGTTGAGAAGACATTAAATGTGTAGGGATCAAGAATCCTGTCTTGTGGTACATTATGATCCTAATGCCTATTTGAGATGCAGATGGAAATGGCAAAAGATGTTGGACACAGAAGAGTGAACCTTAGAAGTAAAGTCTGGGACATAAATTTGTAAGTTATTAACATAATTAATGATGACTTTTAGTCCTGGGGGATTGAAGAGAACACCTCTAGGAAAGTTGTGGGTAGAAAAAGAGAGAGAAGGGATCAGTTATTAGGCTAATAACAGCAGCTATATAAAGAGGGAGCAGAGAGCAAGAGGAAGTAAAGGATATGGGAGTAAAAGGTAGGAGTTATTAGGGCCAGACACCTGATGTCAGTGAAGTTGCATTCAGACACAGAAATTACACATTGGACCAACACAAGAAAATAGCACAACTTCATACACAATAACTCCAAGTGCAGACTTGTTAAATGAAGGGCTAAATACATGATTTACAGAGTAGGTTAGTATGGCATTTCTGAAATTCAGAGTTGACAAGAAAACAATAGACGTATTTTGTGTAGTTATGATAATGCTAAAAGAGGGTTGACCACATTATGCTGTAAACTTTACCTTGGTTTTATTTTAATACAACCTCCTAAAAACAACCAAATTTTTTTTAAAAAATAAGATTTGTCATTATCTATTCATTAATAAAATAATGTTTCATTTTAATACCAAAACAGCTTATTGAGAATTGATCAATAAGACATTCATAGCCAATTAACTTTAATTGTTTAGACAAGAAAAATTGTATTCAACACCTACAAGTTCATGAAAGAAAAAATATTACAATGGTATACAGAAATATAATAATGAACCAAAATATTTTCACTGGAACACAACAGAAAAACTGTAAGCCATTGTCTCTTAGAAAAGAAGTAGTCCTCCCCTCCCCTCCCCTCTTCTAGTAGAGAATAGGAAAGGCAACAGAATACAACAGACATGAGTATGTCAATATGTAAATCAATTCAAGTGTAACTGATGTGATTCTGCAATCTGTATACAGGGTAAAAATGGGAGTTCATAACCCACTTGAATCAAAGTGTGAAATATGATATATCAAGAACTATGTAATGTTTTGAACAACCAATAAAAAAAAGAAAAAAAAAAAGAAAAGAAGTAGTCCTAATAAAGTAGATTTTTGAAAATTGTCATATGGGTAAGCTCATTAGTTGCAATGAAAGTTACCCCTGCTGATCTAGGAGTACCTAATGACCAGGATTTTTTATGTCTCAAAAACAAAGGTACTTTTAAATTCATGTGCTAGCTCACCAAGGAGACCTCAAGTCTGAAAACTTCCAAATGATGATACATAAGAGCAATGAAGTTCTCTGAAGCAAACACAGATATATCATCTAAAACATTCCATTTACTCCTCTAAAATCACATTCATTAATTGGGTTAGATAATCACAGAAAGAATTCAAGAATCACCTATACTATTTAAAAAAAAATTCAGTGATATTTCTTCTATTCAAATATGAAGTTGGCTGCTCCCTGTGAAACATATTAGCAGTATTTGCTGACTCATACACATATGTGTGTCTCCACTGTAACAGATGGAAGATAAAACCCCCAGTCCCAAAATGCCCCACTGAAACACCAAAAAAAAAAAAAAACAAAGAAAAAAAATCAAATTACAAAGTTACAAAGCTTGCAAGTCCTCATGAATGTTAAATAATTTTTAAAGTATCCTAATATTTTAAAGAATTTTAAGTACAATCAAATGAGACAAGGTAAATATTTCAAGAACTTAATTTAAAGTAAAAATTCCTAAAAAATACGAATTTCACAATAAAAACAATGCATCTAAAGAGAAGAATGTTCCAGCTTCCTGCTCAGTTTTAGAACAAGTATGAAAAATGATAACCAGAAATGTAAACTGTCACTATCTAGAAGCGCTTGCCTGATTATTATAAAAACGTTAACATCAATTAACACTATTACCTACCCAACCATCTTTTTCTCAAAAGAAATCTCTATATTTCAAGGAACTTTCTGCCACTACCGCTATCTGCTAAACTTGCTACTTACAAAATTTAATGTCCACAAACACTACTCACTTTCAATTTTGTTTTCATCCCATTTGCTTATATATTCCAAAATGTCTAAGTCTCACTTTAAAAAAGTCAATTTCACTGACTTAATGAACCAACCAGTTAAAAGATAGATTTAATAACCACTAAGTTTTTCCCACTCAGTTCTATTCCTTTTCACCCTGACATATATTAACAAAATATAATTTGTATAATGTCTCTTCTTAAATTCCAAAACAGAAAATATGTATATGTTTATACATATATATATACACACACACACACACACACACAAATTATATGGATAATCACTATGTATGTGTACATATATGGTATACATGTAATATTTCATACATGTATACATATATGCATTTATATATACAGAGAGAGACATTTTCTTATTTCATAAACATTTTAATATAAGACAGGTAAAAAGCAGTGTAATGTAACATTACTATAAAAGTGAAAAATAAAGTAAGAAGCTTATTACTGGTCTTAAAAATCTATGCTAATTATTTCCAATAGGCTGTATGAAATATGTCCTTCAAGAAATATGTATCATGGGATAAAGTTACACAGAACATCAAAGCCAATCAAATGTCTCTTTGCAGATAAAGTACTATAAGCATCATTTTACAGAAAAATTTGAAAGAGGTAGAGAATGATAAAAGCACTTAAGAAGGAATATTCATTTGAATGTAGAAGAAAATAAAAAACCCTTCTTTAAGGTCACAAATTCCAACATTAAGAAGAAAGCAGGGGCTGAGACTATAGCTCAGTGGTAGATCATTTGTGAACATATGGAAGACCATGGGTCCTATCCCTAGAGTACAATGAAAATAAAAAGAAAAGAAAGTAGGAGAAAACAGAGATTTTTTTTTAATGACATTATTAGTAACAAGTGGTCAAAATCAAAAGAATATAGATACTCCTCATTCTATATCTCGTCTCCCAGAATGTATACACAAATTGATTGTTTCAAACCAGTTAAAGTTGTTTGCATAAAACCAACGTGAAATATAAATGAAAACTGGGTATTTAAGTTGGTAATAAAATTTTTAGCTTAAATCATAATATAACCAATAAATAACAATGGATTCTATCCTTTCTGACCCTTAGTAGGAACTAGAACCAGGTTAGAAATTAGGGCATTAGAAAGGGTTGAATTGAGACTCTGGCAATCTGGTGTCTTCGTGGAATGAGATCTCCACTTTAAATAGATCTTGATCTTGTGGAAAGGGAGACACTGATGGCTACATCTGGGGTCAAATATATAACAGTCATTTGGTGGTCATGGGTCACATGGAATCAAAGGAGACACCGTAAGGAGACCAAGCAGCAGAGGGTAAGTCTAGCATGCATCCATAAAATTTAAGCCACAAGACAATGTGTTCATAAATATAAAGTTTCATTACCAAATATATTGAACTAACAGCTCCAATCATGACAAGTCCTAAAGTAAATATCCTATTGTTTTCTATCTTTAAAATTTGACACTGAATATAAAATGTTTTTGACAAAATGAGAAGTATATACAAATAAAAAGCATTATATTCCTTTAGAACTGAAGACCAGAGCAATAACGTATTTTTTTTCCCAAAGTACAAACCTTTACTAGCTTTGTCTAAATGTTCCAAATCGTCCACAAAATTTAGGATATCAGGGTACTTTTCTTCACATATTTCTACCAGGAAATGAAGTAATGTTGTTTTCTGGTCTGCTGATTTTGTGTCCTTTAGCTAAAGAAAATGAGAGGGAGACAAAACATTGTCAGAAGTATTTTGATAATCTACCTACTCGAATAATGTTTATACTGTATTTGGTAGATAAGAAATAAGCTGTAAAATTAATTAATTTCATTTTTGAAAAACAAATATTTCAATGCTTGAAAAGGTACTTTTTACTTGCTTGGTCAAAATTATTAATATTTGTTGTAAATGAGAAATAACTTTAATTCAACCTAGGATGCAACATTTTCTGAGAAAAAAAATTAATGGTCACATGTCTAGAAAATCAGAAAAACCTGAAAGTCTATGTAATACCAGTACCCAAAATTACTAAATGATAAATGGGGCATTCATCCATTTATCATTTGACATATATTCAGAAGCAAGAAGCTGTTTAATTTTTTAAACCATTTGCCCTGATATGACAAATAGTTTAGTAAAAGCAATTACAAAGTAGTTTTAGGACAACACAATATGTGAACTGAATGAACCTCTGAAGGATGGGGTTCGGAGAGGGAAGAAGAAAATTCAGAAGTGCATATTTCAGAGAGAATAGCATTTGAAAAGGGCTTGGTATGGTTTGTACTTGGTTTGTCCCTCAATGATTCATATACAGGAAAAATGGTCTTCACTGTGGCTATGGTGGGAGGTAGAATCTTAAAGAGATGGGGTCTCATGAGAGGTCCTTAGAGATTAAAAGATTTCTTAAGCAACTAGTTGGTAGTTCTCACTATGAAAGCCTGAGCCCACTCAGTCTCTCTCTTTCCAGGTTCCCAATGTGAACACTTGTTCCCACATGTGCTCCTGCCTTTGCCATGCACCACACTGGATGTGGCTGAGACAGTCCTCACCAGAATAGCCTAGATAGGCACCATGCCCCTAACCCCAGACTGTGAGCTAAAAACCCTCTTAAGAGTTAAATAGCTCAGATATTTTGATACAGTGTTGTTACACTGACTAAACCAAAGCCATAGATGAGGAGGAATATGGCACATCTGAAGAGGCTGAGTGACTTCAAAAAAAGTGTGTATATGTCACTGAAGGCAAGTAGGAATAGCAGGAAGACACAAATCTGAAAAGACCATGAAATAAAATAAAAGGTATGCCATGAAATAGAAATACAATTTTGATTCTAAACTGGATGAAAGAGATGATTACATATACATTTTAGAATTCTCCTATGTGGTGTGGATAAAAGATTTGAGCAGGGATAATAAAAGAAGCATAAAGAACAATTTGAAAAGTTGTGGCAATAATTCAGGTAGAGAAATGAGACAACCTGAACTGAGGTTGCGTCCAAGGAATGGAGATAATAAACCAAGTGGGGTTAGAGACCCAGGTGATGCCATTATATGAGATAGGTCAAAAAAGATGAGAAACAGATAATTGCTCCAGTTTTAGACAAAATGAGTGTAAAGCTTCTAAGTAACATTCAAGTGGAAATGTCTCGAAAAGAAGTAGATTTACAAAGATGCGGAACTATATTTCTAAGGTTTTCATTAATGCCCCCTAAAGAGCCTTTTAGGTATATTGGGTCTAATTGTCTATAACTAGGAAATGTAAAATCCACAAGTATACTGCACTTATATTAATGTACTGTATGTATAGCTGCACTGTATATAAAAATGGTAGTAAAATATATAAGTTTTTTGCTCCTTAAGAATCAACTTTCTATCCCTCAAGGGTGACAGTGTCCTTATTAAGAATATGGAGAAATGGACTGGTGTTGGAACACCAATTTGTGAGCTCTCCACTTTAAAAGTCAGTTAGCTGATCAGATGAACTCCAATGGGTATATAGGATTAAAAAAATATATAGGGTTGAGGAGAAGACCAGGGTTGACCAATCCTAATCTGAAGTGGTCATGGACTGTAATCAGAAATGAGAAGTGGTGAAGTTAACATCTGAGCAGTAAACAGGAGTTAGTTTGGGTTTCCTTTGGTAAGTGCCAGTAGGGAGTGATGGGCCTAGAGCAGTATGAACACAGGGCTAATAGATAACCCTAGCACCATAGCAAGAAAGAACAGTTGCTGGCACTTTAAAAACAGAACACATTAAGTCATTATTTGATACCTCCTTTAAAAGAAATGTAGATTTCACAATATCCAGTTAAGTGTTTAAAAAGAGTACTACCAAATATATATAAATATATATCATTAATAGCTAGATAACTAGCATGCAAAGATAATCCTAGTAATGCTAAACATACCCTTAACGAGTTAATAGCCTTGGGGAAGTTATTAGACTTTAGTTTGCATGCAGGTAAAAATAACATAATAATATAATAACACAGAAAGGTAACTCTAAATTCACTTTACATTCCAAAACTATTAAATGCACATTATAGTAATCTGGGTATATATAAGAATAGTGAAATAACAAAACAAAACAATGAGAATATAAATGAAAAACCTAGTTCTTAAAGTTACTTTTGCATGCTTGGGTCAGTTCTAATTTTTCTATATATTTCAGTTTTTACATATAAACCTGAGAATGTTAATCTAAGTTGTGACTTTTTTACAACTCTAGCTTTTCATTCATACTACCATTTTAAGACCACATAAAAGCAGCAAACTTTCATAAATATAATAGAGCTAGCATAAAATCTGTCTTCTGTTTTGTTAAAAAAAAAAAAGCACGCTGAAACTAAAGCTCCTTTTCTGCTTTTTATCAGAGATTACCTCAAGGACACTGTTCCTTCCTTCTGTAGACTCTCAGCCACCTATTTTTACCCCATCTCATGAAAGCACAGTCCACTCCCCATCTCAAGAAAGGGGTAACTAGGTAAGTGACCTATGTGGAATAATAAATAAGACAAATGCTACCTCCCTCTGTAATTTGTAGAGCCTGAAAGTTTTCCAAAAAGATTTGTGATATAGCTAAACAGCCAGGAACTCCTAGGATTCATATATTGAGATATCTCTATGATGAAACAACAATCAAATGGATCAATCTCAATCTTTATTCATGAGAAATAATAATTGAAAATTAGAATTCTGAAACACCATATATTTTGCAATATCTACCAATTTAATAAATGTGAAGTACTTCCAGTCAAACACAGATTCAACGTATTCAGAGATGCTATAAAACTAGCACTAATTTAGGGAGGGGGCTCATTTATCACAGGCTGTCATATTGAAATTGCCCACTAATTAGTAGGACACAGATTGGTAACATTATAATACTAGAAAGTATACTTACTGAATAGGAAATAGAAGAATACTTCTCCCATAATTTCTAAATCTGTATTTAATAATTGTGAAATAAAAAAAAAACATTCAAACATCCAAACATATTTGACACTAAACATAATAAAACATCTCAGATGAGAAGCATTTTGTTGATAATTCATAGTGTCTCATTTTTAAACTATCCTGCAGCTCTAAATCCCAGGGCAAAAATTTTTTATTCATCTTCTAGCGTTCTCAGGAAAAAGTTCACAATGCTACCAGAGTACTCTTCTGCCTCAATTATTCTTCTCTTTCTCCTTCTCCCATAATCTCTTCTAAAAATTAATAAATATAAAGAAAGTTTTCCAAAAGCATGAAAGCACACAAACATGCACAAAATGTATTAGCAACAACTTCATCTATTTCGTCCATACTTTTTTTTCACTGTTTTGGTAGACATTAACAAGTAAAGAAGACATGATCTATTTACACTACTCAGTCATGCCATGATAAGGTACTAATCTAGAATAATTAAAGCTTGGGAGATAGTGCTAACCTTGTTGAAATGAAGAACAACTTAAATACATTTTGCAATAATAGTTATTTGAAAGAAAAATGAAACAAATATTTATTTGTTTTAGAACTTTGTTCAGGTTAAACAAATGCTTTATCTAAATTTTAACAGACATTGCTTGTCAGGATTCCTATTGTGTTACTGTCAAGAGATTTATCTGACTGATGAGTAATCTTCAATGTTAAACAGAATTTATTATTCATATGTTATTTTTTAAGATACATTTAATGTGGCATAAATGTCAAATAAACCAAAAGATGGATGGAGTTTCTCCAGCCACTCTGTTCATTCTGGACAAAATAATGTTAAAAGCAGATTATGTAATAAATCATGGCCTACTTGTCGGTCTGAAGTAAAACTCCCTTATAGCTACAAAGCCAGGGTCTAGAATATACTTACAGTATTCACCACAAATTTGGATGACGTATAAAAAAGATTCCATTATTTCAGTCATACGAAGAAAAATTTTAAATGAAAATTAAGTAGCTTCTTGGTGATCTTTATAATCTAAAAATTATCACCCACTACTCTTTGAACAATGAAATGGTTCTTTAAGAATACTGTCAAGTTAGCAATTTTCTGTACTATATTCCCATAATCTAAGCATCATGACAGCATTGTCACTTTAGACTTGGTAGACTTGGGTGAACACCAGAAACAGGACAAAATTCTGAGAATCTTGTAATGGCCCCATGATTTTCTAGAAGACCTCAACCTATGATATTAACATTGAGCATGACAGCAGGAGTTCTTATTTGTTTGACATTTGGTATGAGACAGGGACTAACCAAATAATATAGCACATGTTCAGTGCTTAAAACACACAACATCCCTATAAGGAAGCAACTACTACTACATTATTTAGATACAAGAACAGATTTAGAGAAATCAAGTTGTTTACCCAAGATTATACACCTACTACCTGGTAGAAGAAAATATGAATCCATGTTCATGTGAAGACAAAACTGATAACCTCTGCAGAATACACTTCTTTTAACAAAAATCTTTATTTAATCTAGCTTTTTACTACTACCCAAAAGAAACAAAATTCCCAAAACTACAGTATGCTAAAATAGTAGTAAAATCAAAAGAGAGTATCAATACAATTTAAAGTGTTAATGCCCGCTAAAACCTTTAAATTCAAGCCTGGATAGCCTCTACAAGCAGAGGCCAAGAGTACAACATTCTTTCTACTGTTTTACCTACCATATGACAAAAATGATATCTGAATCACATCCTTCAAACAACTAGCATTTATGTATTTC